GTTTAAATTTGATGCGTATAGTAACAGTTATGTTATGTTAATGACTGGGTATACTGGTAATCGCATCCAGGGTCAAGGGAGACCACAAATAAACAAGACTAGTAATAATAATGTAATTTAGTAAGTGTGATCACATCTATATTCATGACTAGATTACTGACATCGGTATCCCAGATCAAGGAGGGACCATGCGGAACGAGTAGGCCCAATAAAGATAACGCATTTGAACAACTTAAATCTAATCTTAATTGTTTAAATATAAAGAATAAGGGGAACAAGAATAGTAAAATCGTAATTTAAAGAATGTGGAGATTAATAGTTTATGGTTATGGTAATTTAAGGTTACTAAATGTACATGAAATTTGAACAGATAATAAGAAAATGTAATAAGGAACGCAACAGCATATATTAAATTAATGTAATCTATAGATAGATGCTCTAGTCCAAGAAATCTCTTAATAAATTAAAGAAAAGATTAGCCAGAGCATATAAACAAAACGAGAGTTTGAGATATATAACGAAATATCATTGATAACAAGAAAAATAAAAAATGGGGGGAAAGAATAACGACTTAATCCAATGTCTGATGCGTTCAAAACCAAGAAAAAAGAAAAAAGAAAAGATAAGACAAGACAAGATAAGATAAGATAATATAATATCATATAGCATCAAGGAAAGAAGAGAAAGAATTTAAGTAAAGTAATGTAATTAATCGCTCTAAATTCGCCCCCTCATTACTCGCCGGTTGTGTATGAACATAAACAAAAATTTGATTGAGATAAGCTCCCTGCTTGCACTAAACGTAGCAAATACGTTACTATCACGTGCTAACTCGTCGCATGTTACGTTGCAGCGACGTTTCGAAACGTCATTAACAGGTCGCTGTCACGTAACGAACAGCCAAATTCTTGGTGACTGGAACGTTGCAGTAACGTGTATTTGTACATTATGCGACATATTCAGCACCTATTCGCGACTTGAAAATGATTCAATTGAACCAATTGAACCAATTTTGAAAAGATAAGATTGGTTTTTATTGTATTATGTACAAAAAAATACTTATAACAGATGTATTTAACATTTTAGGTCTGTTATTTCCAGCTGAACGTCTTGCACCATTGGAGGGAAAAAGAAAAAAGATGAACGATGCAAGAAGTTCAGCTAGAAAGAACGGAGCTAAAATGTAAAATATATATATCTGTTGAGTATTTTACGTACATAATACATTAAAAACCAATCTTATCTTTTTAAAGTTGATTAACCATTTTAATTATTACAGCAAACATAGAAACAAAAATTTTATTTTATATATATGTATAAAATACAATATACATTTTTATTTTATACGTCAATTATTGTCAATTATTTAACTTATACTTTAGAGTAAGGACCAATTTTGATTTGTATATTAATTTATATTAAATATGTATTGTTATGTCACATATTCAGTATATAAATAAATTTCATTTGTTAATTTTTTAAAACATTTATATTGTAATACTAATAAGTACATTTTGGCAAACAATCATATAAGAAATTTTTCTCAAACATATATATACTAATACTACTAATATTGTATATAAATACAAAGAACATAAATCAACTCTAATTATTTTGTTTACAACACATGAACTCGCGTATTAAACACATAAATAAAAATATTAAAAAAAAATAAACTAATATCGCTTACACATGTAATAAAATGTCATATGTTATACATAAATACAATAGTAGCATAAATTTCGATTTTTAAGTAAGTAAACTCAAGTATAAAACAAGTAAATAAAGATGCGGTCTTTTTTCAAAAATAATACTTATTATTATAATCACAGTAATGTGTAGTATTTTTTATATTTTAATTAGATTCATCAAATTCCAAATCATCTGAACTTAATTTCTTTTCTTGTCGATATTTTTCTCCTTTTCTGAAACATAAATAAATATCAATAAAAATATTGAAATTATCGAAAAAATATGTGAAATATAAATTGCGAAAGAAGTCTGAAGATATCTACAGATATCCTTAATTAAAATAAAAGAAAACTGCAGTTGCTATATCGATATTATATACAAATTGTAATTAGATAATTGTATTGTTAGCAAAATAGTACATAGATGAAGAGGTTATAACTGATAACTGTTTTAATCATAATATGATCATTCGAAACATTTTCACACAATTCATACAATAATAAATTAAATAATTGAAACTCTTGAGAAATTAATTAATAGGAAAAAATAGAAATTTGTAAGCGCCAGCATTTTGGTTATCGATGAGCAATACTTTAGTCTAAATTTGTATTAATATTTTATTGTTCCACAAATTACGCGTCGATATTTTGTCAGTCTTTTAAAACACAGTCTCAAGCTAAAATTAAATTTGTAATTATTTCTTTTATTGAAAAAATATCACTATACATGTCTCAATCGCATTGATAGAGATGCCTTATATTTCAGATATTAGAAAAGTCCAGATTTGAATCCTGGCTGAAACGTATTCTTTGCAATACATTTCTTTACAAATTTTAAAATGTTTATTAGCATTAGTAATGTTAAGTTGCTTAATTTAATTAATAATTTGATCATACAATTTAGTTTTAGCTTAAAACTGTGTTTTAAGATCGATAAACAATCGGCGCGGAACTAAAAATTGTATAGTATATAAATTCACATAAAATTTACATAATACACTGACAATCAATGTTGACTTTTATAAGATTATATATATATATTGCGACCGCACGCGTAGGTGCGAGGCAATACTATCGGGAGTTCGCACGTCCGGATCGGGCAGAGTTTCGCATCCCGATCGGAGACACAAGTAATTTAGATGTCACAATAATCGTCTCCGCGGATGTAAGCGGGGTTTGGGCGCCAGGCCCGCGTGAGCGAACCAAATTTTATAGTATTCGAGCTATCTCCGATCTTCGACGCACAGCCCGATAGGTCAAAGTAATTTAGATTCTCGCGAAAAGTCCGGACGGGCAAACAACGACGGCGCGGAAGGCCGGCTAACCAGCTCCGACAATGGTAGAGGGGCGGTTCGTTAGATGTGAGGCTTACGTGTGAGGCGAGAGCGACAAGGAAAGAAAATAATTGCTCCTGAATTTAATAGTAATTAAGAGAACATGTATTTTCAATGGTCTCGCGGGGCGAGTGAGTACAGAGGCGAGTATCTCGCGTGGTACTCGCGGGACGCGCGGGACGGAGCGCGCAAAGAGCCCCGGGGAACGCGTATTCCGGTGCCGATCCTTGGCGGACTAACGCCACGCCAGGACGCCTATGCGAATTACAGATAGTCACGGACGTAATACGGGACACGGGTGTGTATCGGATAACGAACCGGGGTGACGAGAACCGAACGAGCTCCTTTAAATGATCACGCGATGCCTTGGGATGATACCCGATTGACCACGTCCCGATTGACCACCAGCCACTCACAGCGCTTGAACAGTGGAAAATCTCTAGGCACCGGCCGCTGTGAGTGGCTGTGGTCAATCGGGACGTGGTCAAACGGGACGCTCCCGATGCCTTGCCGTGGAGCCGCGGTCGCCTTGCGAGGTTACTCCGCGGCGCTCAAATAGTCCCCTCTCGCACGAGGCCGAGGGTCTGCAATCGCTTTGCGTTGGCGTTTTACAATGAGCGGCTATCGTTCGATTCCGTCTTCCCGTCGGAGATTACAACTCAAAATACTTGCCCGAGACAATCCGGATGTCCGATATACGGCAGGCGCGATGACGGCGATCGGCGCGCGAGCGCACGCGGTTCACGCGTTCGCGGCGTGCATGGGCACGTGGCCCGAGATCTACGGCGAATCTCGTTTTTCGCAACACAAGAAAGTTACCGCTCTCGACACAGAATTTAATTCACGATACGCGGAAACTCTAATAAATCCGACACACACAGAACGGCAAAAACGCGCGCTTCGCGACTTACAATTACACGATACAAACACGTGGTGACTCGGCCGGGCGAAGGCGAACGCAAAGGCGACAATCTTAATGACTCGAAATTAGCGCAATCGAGCGGGCGGTGCAATCTTTCGTTCGCGGAACAAGTAATATTTGCAACTCTATTTTACACGGCACTCACGGCCGCTACGCTGAAGAAATCTTTACTCTAGCGCGGCCCTCTCGCTTCGCGAAACTTGGCGACTTTACAAAAGTAGCGACGTTAGTCTCACCGGAGGCTCTCCAACTCTTAACTCTCGTGGACTCTCGATACTCAGTCTCGGCAGTGGATCCTGCGTCCCTTATAATAATCACGTCAGGTAGTGATGACGATTACGGCACGAGTGACGGTCCTTCGTAGCGCCGGGAGCACGTCTGTAGCGGGGCCATCTGCCGGTTTTCGCGATCTCTTCCTGTGAGTCCCTCTTTCGCGACCCCCTGCACCGCAGGAGGGTAGCGCTAGTCGCGGGCCCCGTGATAACGGGCGCGCGATTTCAAAGTGGTCTTGCCGGGAGGGCTTCTGGCCCTCGATACATGGAGCGAGCCATGGTGTCAGCTCTCCTGCGCTCTTGTACTACCGGGGCAGGGCCGTCGGCTCGCTCCGAAAACTCTGTAAAAGAGAACAGCAGGAGGGCTCCGTGATGGAAGAAAAAGAAAGAGTAGTTACGTGACCTGTGCTCCCGTCTTGCGCTGAGTGTATGTCTCGGTAGCCTCTCGTCCTGAGAGTCCTCGCTGCTTGGAGCCGGTGAGACGATGCCTCAATACAGTCTTTTCTGAACAGTCACCATCCCTCGCTTATTTCGGTCGGTGCATGACTTAACTGCTTAATTCTAGTATCAAATTTTAAGTCGCGGAACATGGCAAATCGTAGATGCGCTCGCCCTCGAAAGTCGGAGGACGCAGGATCCACTTAGCCTTTGCGGTCGGGCTACTGAGCCCTTGTGACGAACGTTGTCGAAAAACGTCACGTCACAATGTACATTGTAAAAATAATAGTTATATTTATTTTATCTAGTTTTATAAGAAGAATAATATTAGAATGTTACGTACATGCACATCTTCTTTCTGATGTTGTGAATCACTAGCTGTCAGATTGCATAAAGAATTGAGATATAATTCAGAATTCTTGGGTATACGAGTAATTGGTTTGCAAGATTTCAATTTCTTGTCTATTATATCCAGATCTATCAACCACATTGCAGGTACCATCATACTAAGGTATAAAAATACAGATGGGCAAAACCTGAAAATATATTTCAGAAAAAACAATTAAAACAGTAATTAATGAACTTTTACTTTTATTTGTCTCAAGCTGCATTAAAAAGAGATCTTAAAATATATACATATATGTATAAAGATATATAATTTATATACATATATGTATAAAGATAAGATATATATATCTTATCTTCTTCGTTTAAACTATTTCTAATATTTCTTTCATCTTATGTTTTTGACATTTAAATCTTATCTCTGCTTGTACTATATATGAAAGAAGTATGCTATTTTAGGCGCAAAGTCGCAGAAAATATGATACATTTCTTACACATCATCACTTAACATATTCAATAAATTGTTTTAATTAATTAGCTGTTCATCGGATTTCCTACGTATTGTAGTTTATATTTCGATGATAAATATTATTATAATATTTTATCTGTTAATGAACTATTATTATTGACTGTTAATTACGTAACAGCAATCTGTCAATGACGTTTCGAAACGTCGCTGCAGCGTATCGTGCATACATCGAACATATCATACTGTTGCTACATTTAGTACAGGCAGGATATATTTCTTATATCATTTATATTTCTCTAGTTTTGTACTTTCACATACGTAAGTATTTTTCTATAATATTTTCTGCAATTGCAAATATCAGCAAAAAATTATGTTTACCGAAAGTTGTAAATGGGAAACATGATACATTATTGTCAATTCTGTTAACATATTTCAATATACAACAATCTTTGTCGGCAAAATATATGATAGAGTGATAACAATAAGCGGATTCTGAATATACTAATGGTAAATATCAAGCAATTTTGCTATTGCAAAAAGTGTCAACAAATATTTCGCAAAAATGCAACAATGTATTGCAGTAAACAGATCCTGAACTTCCCAATCAGCAAAATGCTAGCAAAATGTCGACAGACCGGCAGCAGATTAGATCAGAAAATGTTAGCAGCATGAACTCATCTGAGGTCGCATTCTGCTTATATTCTGTCGACAGAATCTGCTTACATAATTTGACAGATTTGCAACAGAAATCGAGCAGATTGTGCTGACAGACTTTAACATCAAATTGACGGCAGAAACCGAACAGAATCTGCGCGACACAATCTGATAGCAGACTGAGAACAAAAATCGAGCACACTTTGCAGTTTT